TAGCCGAGTCTGATGGTTCTCATGAGCCAGCGGGACGGCCTGGGGAGCGCTAACCAGGCCCCCAACGACCGAACAAGCGGGACCAGGGAAACCACCGACGTGGTTTCAGCGTGGTTTCAGTGGGGCAGCGAAGTGGAACACAGGGACCCAACCCGGGAGGCTGTGCGTCCCAGGGTGGGGTCTGAGTGAGAGGCGCCACTTACCTGGCTCCACAGCTGGGCAGGGGGCTCGTGAGGAGGCATAGCGTCCCTGAACCGGACCCTGCTGCCCATAGGCGAAAGGAGAGGGAAACTGCTCTTTTATTGAAGTTTTGGGTACCGCCAGCTGGGTAGCCAGTGGCGGAACAGAAACTAACGGGAACAAAAGATTCTCGACCCGGCCCTCCTCCGGGGGAAGGAGTGATGCAGTCACCATCTCCTGAAGAGCAGGATCCAAGAGCTCCGGGTTGCCCGTCTCAGGGACGCCACCTGCCCTGGTGCTTCACGGGCTTGGCAGGGGCGGTGGTGGGCTGCGCCGGTTTCCTGCACCAGCTCCACGCTGCGGCCGTTGTGAAGGCTGCTGTTGTGGCTGCGCCGGAGCGGAGGTGGAGGCCGCAGGAGGGCGCCCTCGGCGACGAGCAGACAGAGGGGCTGCAGCCGGCGGTGGGGTGGAGACAGCAGCAGACCGCCGGGGCAGGATATGTCGAAAAGCCTCCGTCTGCTTCTGCGCGTCGGAGAACTGTTGGGCAAAGCCCTCCACCGCTTCGCCGAATAGGCCGGCCTGGGAGATCGGGGAGTCCAGAAAGCGATGCTTGTCGGCCTCCCTCATATCCGCCAAGGTCAGCCATAGGTGGCGCTCCTGGACCACCAATGTGGACATCGTCTGACCCAGGGCCCGCGCCGTGACTTTCGTCGTCCTAATCGCGAGGTCCGTTGCCGTGTGCGGTTCCTGCGGCACACCTGGGTCAGCACCACCCTCGTGCAACTGCTTCAATGCCTTGGCCTGGTGGACTTGCAGGAGGGCCATGGCATGCAGGGCGGAAGCGGCCTGTCCAGCAGCACTGTAAGCCTTAGCCGTCAGCGCGGACGAGAACTTACAGGCCCTGGACGGAAAGCGTGGACTACCTCTCCAGGCGGCAGCGCTTTGCGGGCAGAGCTGCATAGTGTCCACATAGCCTTGGGCCGCCCCAACGTCGAGGGTGGTGAGGACGGAGGAGGCACCACGTCTGTTTTCGGGCAGAAAAAGGTGCCTTCCAAGACTTAGTAACCTCCTCATGCACTTCCAGGAAGAATGGAAATGGAGGCGGCTGCCGACGTCCGGCCTGCGCCTCCAGGAACCAATCATCCAGCCTCTAGCGTTCGGGAGAAGGAGGAGGCCTCCAGTGCAGCCCGACACTCTCGGCGGCCCGGGAAAGCATAGC